AAAATTCTATTTTTTATAAATTTTCATGAAATATGTGGGATAACCCCTATGAAAAAGCTGGATTTTACGTTAAATCATATATACACTATTTAGCATTTTTCCTGTTGTTTTAAAATACCTAAACGCACTCCAAATTTTTATATATGTTTTCTAAACTTATCTTAATGGTGCATTGGAATCATTTCTAATTTTACAATGATTAATTTACTTAACATTCATATACTACTTAATATGTAGATTAACCCCTATAAAAATCCTATTTTCTGGAGAAACGGAAATATTTAAGGTCTCGAACCTATTTAATTTTCATACTGTGACGGTGTATGATGCATCTATACATTAAAACAAAATTTTAATTTTTTATAATTTTTCTTGAAATATGTGGGCTAACCACTATGAAAAAGCTGGATTTTCCGTTAAATACTATATATACTATTTACCATCTTTCGTGTTGTTTGAAAAAAACCTAAACGCACACTAAATTTTATATATGTTTTCTCAACATATATTTATAGTACATGGGCATCATTTTTAGTTTTCCAATGATTAATTTTGTTTAACATTCATATATATCTTAATATGTGGATTTGCCCCAATAAAAATCCTATTTTCTGTAGAAACGGAAACATTTAAGGTCTCAAACCTATTTAATATTCATACAATGTCGGTGTATGACGCAGCTATGCATTAAAACAAAAATTCTATTTTTTATAAATTTTCATGAAATATGTGATATAACCCCTATGAAAAAGCTGGATTTTACGTTAAATCCTATATACACTATTAAGCATTTTTCGTGTTGTTTAAAAATATCTAAACGCACTCCAAATTTTTATTTATGTTTTCTAAACTTATCTTTAAGGTACATTGGAATCATTTCTAATTTTCCAATTATTAATTTACTTAACATTCATATACCACATAATATGTGGATTAACCCCTATAAAAATCCTATTTTCTGGAGAAACAGAAATATTTAAGGTCTCGAACCTATTTAATTTTCATACTGTGACGGTGTATGATGCATCTATACATTAAAACAAAAATTTAATTTTTATAATTTTTCTTGAAATATATGGGCTAACCTCTATGAAAAAGCTGGATTTTTCGTTAAATACTATATATACTATTTACCATCTTTCGTTTTGTTTGAAAAAAAAACTAAACGCACTCCAAATTTTATATATGTTTTCTAAACATATATTTATAGTACATGGGCATCATTTTTTAATTTTCCAATGATTAATTTATTTAACATTCATATATATCTTAATATGTGGATTAGCCCCAATAAAAATCATATTTTATGTAGAAACGGAAACATTTAAGGTCTCAAACCTATTTAATTTTCATACAATGTCGGTGTATGACGCAGTTATGCATTAAAAAAAAAATTTTATAAATTTTCATGAAATATGTGGGTTAACCCCTATGAAAAAGCTGGATTTTTTACATTAAATCATATATACACTATTAAACATTTTTTGTGTTGTTTAAAAATATCTAAACGCACTCCAAATTTTTATTTATGTTTTATAAACTTATCTTTATGGTACATTGGAATCATTTCTAATTTTTCAATGATTAATTTACTTAACATTTATATACCACTTAATATGTGGATTAACGCCTATAAAAATCTTATTTTCTGGAGAAACGGAAACATTTAAGGTCTCGAACCTATTTAATTTTCATACTATGACGGTGTATGATGCATCTATGCATTAAAAGAAAGTTTTAATTTTTTATAATTTTTCTTGAAATATGTGGGCTAACCCCTATGAAAAAAACTGGATTTTCCGTTAAATACTATATATACTATTTACCATCTTTCTTGTTGTTTGAAAAAAACCTAAACGCACTCCAAATTTTATATATGTTTTTTAAACATATATTTATGGTACATGGGCATCATTTTTAATTTTCCAATGATTAATTTATTTAACCTTCATATATATCTTAATATGTGGATTAGCCCCAATAAAAATCCTATTTTCTGTAGAAACGGAAACATATAAGGACTCAAGCCTATTTAATATTCGTACAATGTCGGTGTATGACGCATCTATGTATTAAAACAAAAATTCTATTTTTTATAAATTTTCATGAAATATGTGGGCTAACCCTTATGAAAAAACTGGATTTTACGTTAAATCTTATATACACTATTAAGCATTTTCGTGTTGTTAAAAAAAACCTAAACGCACTCCAAATTTTTATATATGTTTTCTATACTTATCTTTATGGTACATTGTAATCATTTCTAATTTTCCAATGATTAAATTACTTAACATTCATATACCACTTAATATGTGAATTAACGCCTATGAAAATCTTATTTTCTGGAGAAACNATCTTATATACACTATTAAGCATTTTCGTGTTGTTAAAAAAAACCTAAACGCACTCCAAATTTTTATATATGTTTTCTATACTTATCTTTATGGTACATTGTAATCATTTCTAATTTTCCAATGATTAAATTACTTAACATTCATATACCACTTAATATGTGAATTAACGCCTATGAAAATCTTATTTTCTGGAGAAACAGAAACATTTAAGGTATCGAACCTATTTAATTTTCATACTATGACGGTGTATTATGCATCTATGCATTAAAACAAAATTTTAATTTTTTATTAATTTTCATGAAATATGTGGGCTAACTCTTATGAAAAAAACTGGATTTTTCGTTAAATACTATGTATACTATTAAGCATTTTTCGTGTTGTTTAAAAATACTTAAATACTATATATACTATTAAGCATTTTTCCTGTTGACTACATAATAACTAAATATATTCATTAAAAAGGTAATAAAGTGAACAAAACAAGTATTGATGTGAAAGTCTCATTAATGGTTGATTAAGAATTTATAAATGTTCTTATAAGAAGGCCGACTCCTACGAACCACCAAAACAATAAAATGAGTGCAATTTTATTTTTTATGAAACAATAGAAATGACTGCTGGTAAAAACCAATAGAAATAACATCATTTGACTAATTTGATATTTTGTGAATTATGTTACACTAAATATGATGTAATACTACTAATCACATCAAATATTAAAATAATATATTTATTACTTTTCATTTAATTATATGTAAACTAATATAATTTTCGTTTTCATTTTGACATTACTAAACATTAAAATATTATTTTATATTTTCAGTTAGTAATACAATTAAATGAGTATTATTTTGAAATTGTAACAAAATAAAATTTCTTTGCATAAATTTAATTTCAACTAAATTTTACATAAATAAAAAATATATATAAATTAAGTAATAGACAAAAATATTATTTTAAATAAACTGTGGAAACATAAACTTGCCAAATTTTAACAAAAAAAATAAAATTAAATGAGATAAATAAGATTATTCAACTATAAATAATTAATGTATTGATTTATTAACCTAAAAAGTTAATATATAACATAGTTTTGGTCTATAATTTGGTTTAATAGTTTGATATGAAAAATAAAATTCAACACCAAAATACCAAAATTTAGTGTCGACTTATGATTAGATTCGCCTTAAGAAATTTGAGTTCAAATTCTAGTAAACGTGATTTATTATAATTTAATAGAAAAAATTACCAGGATGCAAATAGGACTATTATTAGTCATAAACTTTTATAGAACAGTTAAACGTGATGTACTTAGAATCTAACAACTGAATTATCGGTTGAAAACATAATAATTTGTCATACTAACAGCCCATTTGCTAATATTTGATTTGTTTTTTTCTCAACACAGCTTTAGTTTGAACATCTTTGCCTTATGCACAATCGAAGGTATCGACTAACAGTATTCAGGAGTAACAAAGTATAAATCTTACTCGGAAGCAGCGAGGCTTACCAAATGAGACACCAAATCTTCAAGACATGAAAACTGATTCAGTAAACTCTTTTGAAAGTCCTTACTCTCATCTGAACTCATCTCACTTAAACCTTCGTTGATCCTCTTCATTCCCTTCTGCAATAACTCCACTCCTCTGCATATTCCTTCTGGAAGTTTCCTTCTCTTGTTTGATTGTTTCTCTACTTCCATTGATCTCTGCTGCTTTCTTCCTTCTAGAAGCTTCTGCACTGTTGCTTTGACCTTCGTGCCTTCTTTCGAAAGTAACTCGAGTTCCTCTTGTGAAGGTGTGATAGAGAGAAGCGCTTGTTCTTTCTCCAAGAACATCTTTAACTCTGACATGAACCGCTCTGTTTTTGCTTCTTTTCCAGAAGCTATATCGAAAGCTAGAGTAGCGTCATCAGGTACGAATCTCCATAGCTCGCTACAGCTTGTACGTGCACAGAAATACCCAAACGCAGTAACTGCGTGGTGTACCAAAGCCCAGTGCCGTTTCTTGAGAAGCATATGGTAGAGTTCCCAGACTGCTTGGCTCTTTGGACAGGTTTCGGTTTCAGACATCTCATATTTGCTAAGTCCTGACAAGAAGAGGGCGAGGCTTGGCTTGGATTTGTGGAGATGATCACTGTTACCAGTTTCTGAAATGAAAAGCCTTTGAAGCTCTGTTATGACATTATCCATCTCTTGGCAAGTGTATAGCTGCTCGCTTCTTGAGATGATTGATAGTGTTTCGCTGAGAATCTCAGTGTAACGATCCCTTATCGTTTCATCTTTGGAGTTTCTGAGCTTTTGAATGAGAGCGACTGCAAATTTCAGAGTTTTGGAGTCAATCTCTGGTATGCTTGTCTTTCTACAGAGAAAACATGACAACAGTCAATATCCACAAGGACCACACCACAAAAGTTTAAAAGGATATTTAGTTTCTAAGTTTCTAATGAATTGTCAAGAGTAGATATAATAGTTACTTACAGTATCCCAAGGCAAGCAGATAGTGCGAAAACTGGAGCTCCTTGCACAGAGTATCTGGAGGAATTTGATGGTTTCACACTGAAATTCTCAATGAAGTGAAAGAAGTCTGTGACAACTTGTTTCTTAGCGTCGTTTTTCATTCTGTCTGGCAGAAAATTCAGCGGAAAGCCCTCTAACAGCAAGGCTAGATATGCATCTGGTGCCGATTCAGATCTGCTCTCAGTTGAAATGTTTTTGTAAACTTGGGCTGTTAAGGATTTGGGGCTGTGAGTGAGAAGAAAGCAGATGGACTTTGCCGTTCTTCTGAGTACGGATTCAGGACAAAGAGGCGTGTCTGATGTTGACATTGAAATCATGAATACACAGAGTTTATCGATCATATTGGCCCTCATATCCTCAGTGGCATGACGAACCCAGAAGCACCAGAGTTCCATGACTATCTGCCAACACAAGAAGTGGGGATGCAAGAGATTCTTGAGTAAGAGTGTTTCAAGCTCTTCCCAGGCAGGAGATGTAGACAGAATAATCATAAAGGTTTTGAGAGATAGAAGCAGAGCTGAAAACATCGATTCCCAGATTATTGTCTTCCCAGAACCATCTGCCATAGGTAGCTGAGAAGAAAGAACTGAAGTGTAAACCTCTTCTTCTGTTAACATGTCGAGAAGCCATTGCAGCTTTCTGGTGACTGCAAGCTTTGCGTCTTCTTCAAGCTCAGAAGAATACCTCATGACAGACTGAAACAATACAACTCGGGCCAGGAGCAAACCTCTGGCACTTGTTGCGGATTCAACAGATAAAGACAAGATATCCACCAACGATGATTTTGTCTGCGAATCATGGCTCTGTTTGTTACAAACTTGGGCTGGGAAACATTGTTCATCTACGAACAACGAATCAAGAAGTGTGAGCCTGCATTCTTGTGTTATTTCACCTGCGTTCAACAGTGCACTTAGAAGGTCTACAGTTGTTTTCTCTAGAAGATCCGTCATTACTTCACTTGCGTATTTGCCATGGGTTTGCTGGCTCAGCGAAACTTTGAACGCAGAGATCATCAAGATACAGTGTGCTATATCCTTGAACACCATAGACGCCTGGGTTGGAAACAGGGCCACAACTTTAACAGCATTGATGAGATAAAACTTCACAGGAAGAAAGACCCTTTTGGCTTCTGCTGCAGTTATGTTTTCCTTCAATGAGCAAGACCAAGCCTCAGCGGCAAATCTCAGAGACTCCTTGATCAGTGATAATAGCTTTAGAATGATTTCTCCTACATCTACCGTAGATGCCAATGCCTGCTTGTCTATCTGAAGCAAAGTAATCACACCCTTCCATGATGTATTAAGAATTGTCACAAGATTACCACCATCTCTTGCAGCAAGCATACCCAGTTCACTCAGCGATTTAATTCCCAGCGTAATTATGCTTACCAAATTACACGCAGTGTTGCCTTCTTCCATCCTTGCTGTTCCTACACTTCCATTAGTCTTCGTTTCATTTACACACTGATTCACTGTTGGAGAGAAATCTTTGCATAGACGAACAATAGAGTCAATCACCCCTTGCACAGCCTTAAAAATCTCCGAGGAAAAAGATTCAACTTTCTGTTTCAAAAGAAAGTGAAAGCTATTAATACTATTAACAGATGACAACAATGCTAAACACTAATCTCAACCTTCAGTAGAAAAATGTATTTTCAGTCAAACCATATGTTAATTAATTCATTGTTGAGATGATTTCTCGAAGATACCTTGGCATTCAATATCACCTCCTTTGTCAAATTTAGCTGCTCTAAAACAAACTTATGGACTGTAACAGCTGAAGCCTCATCACTCGTGAAACATATTTTTCCAATAGCAGTAAAGCTTAAGGCAGAAAACCGAAGATAATCCAAAAGAAGCTGCATAATAATGATTGAATAACTCAGTCGGCCAGTAATCATTAGCTCTGATAAACTTGTACTTGCAGAAACGTCAAAAAATCACCAACCTGAAAGAAAATGTTTGAATGCTCTTCCTCCTGAGACTCCTCCATGGACATTACAGACATGTATAAATGCTTCGCACACCATTGGCTTACCTACAAAAAAATGGAGTAAGAAAAGAAAATAAAACAACACTCTCGAGCTGAGGTTCAGCACTAAGCAGCAAAAAAAAAAGAAACTAATTGTACCTTAATACCAAAAGCGAGAAAGTACTGAGAACAGTCAAGCCGATTCAAAGCCAGGTATTTTGAAGCCACAGGCAGAATTGCCTTGTTCAACAAACACTGGGACACGTCAAGACACGTGGTGTCTTCCCAGAGTGTCTATACTACTGTCAAGGACGATTTGAAACATGCCAGAACATACCATTTAAACCATATCTAATTTCCTTAATCCAAGTGAAGCATAGTAGTAAACCAGAAATACATGTGATATAAAACATTAAGCAGAGTGTTCAACATCATAATCCTGAAATCTCTATTATCACGATATTCTCCCTGAATCCAACAATCAAACACACATAGAGAGCGTGCAACTAAGTATATATTTCAAATAAGTGTGGATACTGTTAGGCTCTGGACGAAAGACGGTACATCAGGATTCTCTTGTGTATCTAACTGAGCCAGCTGTGTGAGTAGTTGAACCCGATTCTCAATAAGCTGTTTGGAGGAAAATGGAAAGCTCGTTAGACCTATGAGTTACAAAAAATTGCAACTCCTTTGAGTAAATCCGAAACAAATCTACAGAACGCCTAGAAAAGTATCGGCTCACATAAATCCATTCTTAATAGCTACAACTCCTAATGTACTTCTCCTTCATACACCTCAAGAGGATACAAAAATATATGTATATGATCAAATACAAAACTGATTCAGCTGATAACAGATTCTAGCTGCGGAAACTCAATCGGAAGGAATCGGAAGAGATAAATTACTGCAGAAAGAAGATTGTACGGAACAATCACACGATTTAATTGGAATATTCTACAGATTCCTGGATAATGAATCGAAGCTTGGAAGAAACATAGAAGAAGCTTACATCGGAAGATTTGATCTCTTCTAGTATCCTCATCGCATTGTTCGCCATCTCTCGTCCTCTCTTTCTATCTCTAGAATGTTGATATCCCTCGAAACTGAGAATTTTACTCTCTCCAGCTTCCCGCTCTTTGCATTTCAGCTACTGAAAACATCTGCGCCCTACTTGTTTTCGCTTTCAAATATATGTAAAGGCCCGTTGGACCTAATTGGGCTTTTAAAGGTAGCCCAGCTCCTATGTGTATTAAGATTAGTATAATTGTTAAAAAAAGAAAAAAATCGAAGAAAAGTATAATGTAGTTTTAATTTTTAATTCAAGTTTCAAATATTTGATGTCTGGAAAATGTAGAACATATAAATAAGGGAAATTGCTAAAACTAGCACTTTGATGATACACTATTTCACTTTTACATTAACCAACTTTACACTTGAAATTTTGATAGGCAAAATACTATTCTACCCTTCTATTCATTTCTCAAACCTAAGTTATCAAATCCGACGAGACTAAACTATTTCTCCGATGAACCTCTCCGACAAAACTGAATAAATTCGTGTTCGTAACTTCCTTTGTGATATCTTGGCGAAGCAGGATGCGGAGGAGGAAGCTCGTGTGGTGTGGCATTCACACGGTGGTTCGTGGCGGTTATGGAGACGGGAGGGAAGAGGAGAGAGATTGAGCTTGTGGTTGGAGGAGGAGAGGATGAGGATGAGGAGAGGAGGAGAAGTCGCCGGAGGCATGTTTTTGAGGAGGAAGAATCAAAGATCGCGGTGGAACCTATAATCAATCGAAGCTGCTATCATTAAAGCTTTACAACCTGGGGAAAGAGGTTTCTGGGTGATTGGATTCAAATATTTTGTTTGTTCAAAGGTAAAAATAGATTGATTTCCATCGATGGATTCTCTCAATTTAGGATTCTAAGTGATTTGTTTGATTAATTCATAATCTCATGATTGAAACATTGGTGACGTGAATTTAAGACACTGAGAAATAATTAGACCTCTAAATCAACTCAGCGATGAGATTGATTATGCTTCCTTGATGCTTTTTTATTAGATTATGATAAAGCTCTTCCATGGTTCAGCATCGCAGGTTTTCTCAGGTATTGAAGAAGCTTATGAAGACATGGATGTCTTGGACAGGTTTTGTGTCTCTGGTGTACGTATGGAGCACAAATCTGAGAAGGAAAGGAGTTATAAGACTCTCTTTGAAGCACAGGTTCATGTGTCTATCATGTAAAGAAGACAAGCAAGCTGCGAATAAGAGGTACACCACGTTCAAGCAGTATATGGGTGAAGTGAACATGTTTTTACATGTGGTTTGACGCTTGCTGTTGGTCAGAGGAAAGTTGCAGGGTTTTCTGAGAAAAATCAGAGACGAAGCTAAGGTGGAAGATTGAGATACAAATCAGTGTTCAGTGAGTTCTATAAAGAAGAAGCTGAAGGAGACGAGTGCAAGTGATGCAAGGCTCTTTCATGGTTGCTCACTTCAAAGAATTGGCGGTGCTGTGTATCTAGAGTGATACATAACTTATCTCATTGATGGTGTTTGTAACGGGAAAGAGACCTAGAGAATATGCAAATGCAGTAGATGAAGCTGCTTGTGGGAGACATACATCAAACAATTATTTTGAAGATGTTTTATTTGCATCAAGAGAAGAGAAGATTATGTAAGTATCTTCTTGGTCATTACTTACAAGTTAGTGAAGTGATATAATTCATCAATTTCTGAAGCTTGCCTAAAGAGTATTAACTATGGAGGAGGCGTTTCTAATTCAAGATCAGAAGTTGTTTGGTGTTGAGAGGCGTTTTTTTTATGGCTGCTAGTAGTGTTTAAAATCTGCTCTGTTTAAAATCTCAGACACCTTGTGGCTCTATGCAATTTTGTTGTCCATAAAAGTCAAAAACTTATGTGTTACTGTTTATGAAGATAAGCAAGAGGAAGGGCTACTAGCATTGGGGAATCTAAAAAGCTTCAGTTTCAGAGAACTCCACGTAGCAACGGATGGTTTTAGCTCCAAACACATACTTGGCGCAGGTGGGTTTGGTAATGTCTACAGAGGAAAGCTTGGGGATGGAACCATGGTTGCGGTGAAACGTTTGAAAGATGTGAATGGAACCTCAGGGAACTCTCAGTTCCGTACCGAGCTTGAGATGATCGTGTCCATATGAATCCGTGTAAGAGTCTTCTTCTCCAGTTTCATCCTCGGTTGTCATGTCCATAGCTGTTTGTATTTGTTTAGGAGAATGATCTTGTAAACTGGAAGTCTCCTCTTCTCCAGAAGACTTTGTATTTTAGGTTTCTCTGTTCATGGAATCTGAACATGTTCTCTGCAATGTATACACCATCTTTTATTTTGATTTCTTCCAGAATACTTAAAGAAACCTACGATTAGAGATACCTGAAGCTTCTCTGACTCAGAATAATCTGTTTGAATTGGCTGGACAGCTTGAGATTGTCTGTTCTTCTAGTTTCTGAAGCTTGCTTTCTTGTTTCATTACCCTTCTTAATGTCCGTTTCTTCACTGAGACTGTATCTTGGTAGAGAAGATGGATCACATACTGTTTCACGTTGCTAGAAGTTAATCAATCAACCGATTACAGATGGAATAGTTATAAATGATTTTACAAACCATTATAAATATTTTTTATTTCTTATCATTTATTCATATATAGTATAAATGATTTACAAAGATTTATTACAGATTATAAACACTTATAAATAGCTTTATAAAGATTAGCTTTATAAAGATTTACTTATAAACTTTTGTATGGATTTGTAAATGATTTATTAATTCTTATAAATTGTGTTATGAAGATTATTAAACTCTTAATTTTTTTTATAAACCCTTATAAATAGATTTATAAACTTTTATAAGCAATGTATAAACTCTTATAAATGATTTATAAATGAGAAGAGGCTCTGGGGAAGGTTCTCGTCCTCTGAACTCCACAAACACCTGCTCAATATAACAACGGCACCACAACATTTGAGTAACCGGCTTGTATATATATACACAAGTATTAACTCTTGCAAATATAACAATGATATATAAGCTTGTATATATATATAATTAATATTAACTCTTGCAAATGTTTTATAAACCCTTATAAACTATTTATAAATGTTTATATATTTTATAACTTGTTTTATAAGTCTTTATAAATTGATTTATAAATATTTATAAATTCATTATTATATCCTTATTATATGATTTATAAACTCTCATAGATTAACTCTTAGAAATGGCTTCATAAACCTTATAAAAATTTAACAAACCTTTTATAGAACCTTTATGAATCTTAAATTACACTTACAAAGACTTTAAAAAAGAGGATCAAATATGATCATAGACATGATTAAAAAAGATCTAGCAATTCTAAGCTAATAACTATATGATCAAGAGATATATAAGAAACAACAATTATGTTTCTCTACTGCATTGACGTGATTATAATTCAATTCGAACTTGTAAGTCCCAGCTATGGATTATTTAGGAGTCAGCTGCAGGGGTGAAGAAGAAACCGATGGATGAAGAAATCAGATCACGTTCCTTTTCCTTCTTATATTGTTTGTTCCTTTTTTTTTCAACCTATTTTCCTTTTTTTTAGTTTCAGTATCTTTTTAATTAATCCTACATGGAAATTTCATTGGTAATGAAGAGTGGAGTGAATTATATCATTCACCACAAGGGGTGAACCTAAGTTTTGTCCTTTCTTTAACAGGAATGACGAAGATGATTAACAAATGGCAATTAATAAATGATTTTATAAACCTTCACAGATGATTTTATAAAAGCCTTTCTCGATTATTTATAAACTCTTGTAAATGATTCATTAACTTTTATGAATAATATATTAATTCCTATAAGTGTAGATACCTTATAAATGTTTTATAAACCCTTATAAATTATTTATAAACACTTATAAATGACTTATAAACTGTTATGGATAATTTATAATTCCTTATAAAATTAACTTTTATGAATAATATATTAATTCCTATAAGTGTAGATACCTTATAAATGTTTTATAAACCCTTATAAACTATTTATAAACACTTATGAATGACTTATAAACTGTTATGGATAATTTATAAATCCTTATAAAATTATTTGTTGGGTATTGATTGTCTTTTATATATATTTACATCAAGTGATCATGTTGTAATCAATCTTTGTTGGTCAGTGATTGGTTACATCATAATGTTTATAAATTGAATTTGATTTATATGAGTTTATTAAATGACTTATAAGTGTTTATAAAGATATAAATGATTTATAAAGGTTTATAAGTTGACTGTAAGAGTTTTAAACTGATTTATAAAGGTTTATAAGCTAATTTATTAATGTTGACTATGATAAATGACTTATACAATGATTATAAACTAAATTAGAAAGGCTTATAAACTAATTTATAAGGGTTTATAAAATCATTTATAAGGTTTGTAAAAGTTTATAAACTAATCTAATAAGGTTACTAAGTTAATGTATAAAAAGCTTATAAAATGATTCATAAAGGTTTATAAGTTAATTTATGAGTTTATAAACTAATTTATAAAGGCTTATAAACTAATTTAAGGGTTTAGAAGTTGATTTATAAATCCTTATGGCACATCATGATCAGACCGGTTATGAGCCAAATCGGATGAAATATTGGTTTTAGACCCCTAATTTTTTTTGCAAAAATTATATGTAAATAGCTTTTTGAAAAAAAAAATTTTAACTCCCAAATCCATAAAAAGAGAAAATTTAGGTGAAATCATTAAAAAATAGCGTGAGTCCCATAATTCTCAGTACACAACATTCAGCTACAATGAAGTACCAAAGTGGATCCTCCGTGACTCTGAAGCTCTTGGTAATGGTGACAAACCCAGCTCTCGCATCACACATTTATTTAGAAATGTAAGTTATTTGTGATCCTGGTTGCTCGTGAGTGGTGAGTATGGGATGAGTCTTGCTAACAAGTTTTGATATAGTTTGGCAAAAAGGTCCAAAGTCCATTGTTTTGAGACTTTTGATTTAGGCTTTATTTTTGTCTCAGTATATACATTACTCCATGGAACTCTGAGTTAACCGATGTGCTAATCTAAAAAGACTAATAAGATTCAAATAACAAAAACAAAGATGATAAACGAAAATTTTGAACAGGAGCATGAATTGTTATAAGCTACGTTTTAGAAGTAATCTTGTAATTGTGTGTTTCACATCCTCCTCATCAAACATTATAAACAGAGTCTTCATGGTGTTATCTTTCTTTGATGACATGGTGTATAAATATCCTTTCATAAACTATATAAGCCATATAATCTCTTTCTCATGATTACAATATATACAGCTACAAATATATGAAGATCCTCTGTGTTAGTCTCAGAAACAAGAACATGCTTTTCCAGGAATTTTACCGGTATAGAAAAACAAGAAAGAAAATGCTCTTATGCTCGAGCTTTGATACTATATCCATTTTTCGTATTTTTTTGTGACGAAAATTAGGGTTTTTGTCTAGGTTTTCTATTTAAGAAATCGTGAAACTATTTCATATGACAGTTTTTTTTTTTGTATTTTAATGAACAGAATTTTGATTGAACTAAATTTATTAAAACTGAAAGTTGATCTCAAGTCGGCAAAGATAATTCCAAACTGGAATTATCAAATCTCTTAGGTAAAATTGGTATCAAATTAGATAGCATATATATGATGCCATCACTCAGTTGAACGTACGTGAATTAAACTTAGTTTCGTTTTTTCTTCCATGTGATAATTATAGCTCATATATACACACTTTCGTTTTTTGCTGCTTTATATTACTAAAGAGATGTCTTTTTTTTTTTTAAATTATAGGTACATATGAGAGACTAAAGAGAAGTGTGAAAACCTGTGACAAGATTTCGCTGTTGCATTTGGATACATTGAGATTGTTGAGTTTCCACTAAATAAAAGTTGATTTATAAATCTTTATAAATTCATATTTTATTCATTATTAAATCCTTATTATATGATTTATAAACTTTCATAGTTTAACTTTTACAAATGGCTTCATAAACCTTATAAATATTTAACAAACCCTTATAGAACCTTTATGAATCTTAATGTACACTTACAAAGACTTTATAACTTATAAAGCCTTATAAAAAACTAATAATAATAATTTAGAAATGATTTTATAAATATTTATAAATGATTTAGAAACCATTATAAATGATTTAAAAACCATTATAAATGATTTGTATAAGTGCAATAACCTTATAAATATTTGTAAACCTTTAGAAATGATTTTACATACTTTTATAAAAGTTTTTAAATATGTTTTAACTTGTAAACTCTTAAAATCAAAAACCAGCTTATAATCTCTGATAAATCAGTTTGTAATCCCTTATAATTTAATTTATAAACCCTTATAAATTACTTTATAAAACTTTATTAATTAATTTATAAACCCTTATAGATGATTTTATAATGGTTTATAAATCACTTATAAATCGTTAAAACCAAAAATCCATTCATAAAGATGAAGTTTATAGTACACAAGACTTGTCTATTTTTGGAATAAACATTAATTAACTTATAGACTCCAGTAGATGTTTTATAATGTATTATAAATCATTTTATAAAACCTTATGAATCAATTTATACACTATTGTAAATCAAAATATAATCCCTTATAAATTAGTTTTTAAAATTTCATAGATCAGTTCATAAACCCTTACAAACCTTTATAAATGATATATAAGCTTTTATATAAAAATATATATAAACTCTTGTGAACGTTTTATAAACCATTATAAATTGTTTATAAATGTATTATCCCATGGGAAACTAAACGAGTTGGGATGGAGATGGGAAATCTGGAAGTAAGCAGGACGTAGTGTCTTATTGGAGCATGGTATCTTGCTATTGGTGGTTCGGATCTTGGCTCATATATTGTGATGACTGATTTATAAAACTTTACAAAATTATTTATAAGAAGAATAAACTTATTTATAAGAGCTTATAAATTTATTTATAAAAATTTATAAGTTTATTTAATAATGTTTAATAAACTATTATGAATGATTTAGAAAGGAGTTTATGAATGATTTAGAAAGGGGTTTATAAATTGATCTCAAGACAAAAACCTTAACACATGCAAAAATTCGGGATTTTCGTTTTAACCTTTTATGTGATTCGTGTTTACAATTTCAAACTAAAATACAAATGTACATGCGTCAGGTTTCAGCATCACAATCTAAAATACAAACGTACATACTTGAAGATAAACATCACAAGCTATCAAAACCCATCATTATCATCATCCAGATACTTGATATCGAACGTACATGCGTTGAAACTTGATTATATCCTTCAACTCCATTATATCCAAACCAGATGATACCCTGAACCGTATTATGTCTTTTTTGTAACTCGGTTTAATAGTCATTGTTCTCATTTTTGACCCGATGGTTCACGTGTAGTATTTGCAACAGACTCTTCCTTTGCAGGGGCATACATGTTGTTGCTGTTATTATCATTGTTCATCCAGTTTGATTCCGGAAACTTATCGTTGAATGGTGCACATGAGCAGAGGTTTCTAAGATCTTTTGAGCTTCCAGCGTCTATAGTACCAAGAAGTCTGTTGGGCATTGCAAACGATGCTGCAGATACATCATGATTTCTAGAGTAAGGAGACAAACAAACTCCAGGTGATGCACCATCACTCAAATTTCAAGGAGGAACAGAGCAAGGCTGAAATGTATGAGCAGAAGTGAGGAAAGAGAACCAAACCTCAAGGGCTTTGCAAACTCTATCACTTCAGGTGCATAGTGAATTTTCTCTAAGGTCAGGATAAGTTCCACAACACCAATGCATGACTCACCTGAGGGATTAAAGACATGCAAATCCAGTGTACCACGTAATAACAAGCAACCTGGTAATACAAGACTCTGGCTTATACAACATGTCCATTGCCACTCTGATCAAACCCATCTGAATCATCTTCCTAGCCAATTCAGAATTTTGAGAGAGGTTAACAAGAGCCTGAGCTGATGGCTCTGAGACCTCCTGATCCAAAAAAGTTCCAATCTTTATCAATAATACTAATCCAAATCTACAAAAGATTAAAGCTTTTTAGTGTTATATAATCAAAGGACCTTGCTTTCACTAAGGAGGCGAGAGAGTGATGGAAGTAGAATCTCGGAATACTTGGATAGAGATTGTAAACCTTCCTCTGAACCAGTTAATCCACTAAGAATCACCACCGCAGCTTTCTTCACCTACAAGTTGTTTATTCATATAATCAAAAATTCAACAGAAACCATAAAATCTAAAGTTGTCGGTGCATCTCAGAAACATATGAAACCAATTTTTTTTTTTTTTTAAAAGGAGCTTACAGGAGGAGAAGGAGAGGATAGAAGATCGACAAGCTATGAGCATCTGAAGTCCATTCAGGCAACTTCTGATGGAAAGCCCGAGCTCTATGTCACAATCACTATCCACAAAAAACATGTACGTGAGAGAGATCAATCTGCTTCAACAAACATCTTTTCTGCCCTTACCTACACAAAATCATAACCGAATTATCCTCTAGAAGCAAACATAAAAACTTTCAAGTTAGACATCAAAAAGTAGTATTAAAGTATATAGCAACAAACATACCCCTCTCTGCTGGCATATACAAAGATACTCGTCTAGGATCCTATTTACTTTCTCCCTTTCTTTTTCCCGGAAAACATTTACTTCTTCCTCCTTCACAGAACTAACTGGAAACTTGGCTCCCACTAGGAAAGGTTCAATGAATAAAAACAGTAAGATAAAAGGCTCTAACCTTTGAATCCACAGACAACAAGGGTTAGAGGGGGTACTTACTAACTGGGATCATTTGGGAAGGTTGATGAACGTGAATGATGCAAATCTTCTTCCCTCCAGTGTTCTGCAACGCCCAGATGAGTGTAGACTTGCTCTTAGCCACGTGTTTATCAACAGCAACGAAGATCTTCTCCTCAATTAGGCGTGAGACAGGTTCTTCCGTGACGCTGCTCCTACTTGACCTTGAACCAGGGCTAGTGATCCCATGGAATCTCATGGATGACACAAAGTCATCAGCAAATCACGACCATCAGAATCTAAGTCATATACATCCATCAGAATCTCCCTTGACCTTGAAGATGGAGGTGTGACGCCGTTTCTTCGGTATTATCACCGAACTCGCACATTTTCTAGCAGTTTATTTCTGGAATGTTCTGATTTGCAGAGTGTGATTGATTCAATAATATCGTAGAATCGAAATAAGGACGGATGCATCCCATCTCCCTCGGCTTGTCACCGGATGCGTCGCCAACGCCGTCGGATTCTCACCGGATGCGTCACCAGCGTCGTCAGCTTGTCACCGGATGCATAGTTTGTCATCGGAGAGTTAGGTTAACTAAGGTCATTTAAGTCATTTACCAATTAATGACTTAGGTATTTATGAAAATTTCCCTCTCTTGAAGGTAAAGTTGAATTAGTGTACTAGGAAAGTGGTATAATTGAAATTATCCCTATAAATAATTATTTTTAAAATATATATGCTATATACTATAATAATAATAATAATACATTTGTTCCATAATATAGGATGTTTTACCAAAAACACAAGAATTAATAAACTTACTTTTTACCAAAAAATAATATAAATGTATAATGAGTTAACTAATCATAGATAATGCATTAAAATACTATTGGTCAATCAATTTTCAAAACTTAAAATATTTTATATTATTGGTTGATCAATTTTTAAAAGGTTAAAATATTTTTTTTGGTAACTGCAATGATTAAGTTAAAGAGGTTTAAGAGATACAAAGGTTTAGGACAGAATGTAAACAAACTTTAGTAAATAGTTCTGCAATCCCATTAATAAAATTAAAAGACCTTAAAACTATCAAAATATCTTATATTTTGGAACATTAAAATATCTTATACTAGTTTTGATTGGTACTGAGTTATCATTGATTAAAGTCGAGTTAGAGAGATAATTCAAAAAATATCACCAATCATGATTTAATTTTAGAATTTTGAGTTACTATTTAAATTACTATGTGTTATATTTGAGTTACAATTTGAATTATCCATTTAGTAAAATTGATAAATCAAGTAGTAATTTCAACATCAAAAGAAAAGGTATGTGTTAAGACTTGAGTTAGTATTTTTTTGGGTTCAACTAAAAATCCATGTCCACTTTTTATATTTAACAAAAGAAAATTCTACATTGTTGTTTATGTTCTTTTTCTGTCGATAGTTTTAAAAATAGTTTTCATATTTTAGTGCAATGTCATTATATAAATATGTAGACACCCTATTTTATAATCAATATATGTTCAAATATATTTCATACTTTTGATTTAATTTATTTTAGATTAATATAATTTAACTTTTAATATATTTTCTAAAATTGATAATCAATTTTATTATTATTTATATCCATCATATTTGTAAAATAACAGATACTATAATTTATATATCAAAAATGTTAACAATCAGTTATTTTAAAACATATAATAATTCAAATTTTTACAGAAAACTTATTAAGTAAATCTACAGTTTTACCATACAATTTTTACTGCGAAATACATCAAATTATAACTTTTTCTAATTCAACTCTAATACTAGATATCACTAGTCAAAATCACTATTGTGGAACAGATGGAGTACATACTGCATCGGCTCTAGACGTGTGTGGAAGGTGCTTTGGCACTAGATCCTACATTTTTTATGTAATTTTTTTATAATTAGGATCTTATAAATTTTATTTTATACAAAAAAAAAATTTTTTTTTATTTTCTGAATACACAAAAAGACCCTAAAACTTTTGATTTTTTCAAAAAAAAAAACTAAATTTTGATTGTGCACAAGGACCTAAATATGTTTTAGACCGGGCATGAGTATAAAAGACTATGATTAATCTGAGTTTTTAGAAAGATGTTCTTAGTCGAAAACTAAGAATAGTTTCTTAAATTTTAACTAAAAAGTTAAAATATCATTAAAAGATATAAAAACTGGTTTTTAGCCAAAAAAAATATTTTATATAAAAAATATATCAAATCATGAGTTAGGAAATTCAAATTAAGAACTCGTAGGTTAATCATGCTCTAAACATACATACCAAAAAAAAACAAAAAAAAAACAGTTATACACATTGTAATTGATTGCATGTAATGCAAATTCACGTTGGGCCAGTGCGAGAGGTTGTAGAGATGACCATGCATGAAACAAGTGTTTGTCATGCAACTCGTATCATCTTTAGTTTTCGTAACTCTCATCCCAAGGCCATTATTACGTCATTTACTATTGCTTATATATTCTGTGGATTCTTGTTCTCTTCGCCCACATTTGTTATATAATTTTCTTACAAATATTTTCTTTAAATTGACAAGAAAAGCTTCATACTAATTTTTTTCTTTGTAAATGATCTTCGTGCTAAGGTAATTATACTATATATAGTACAGTTTCAAGTTCTGAACCGTTGGTCTTCATAAATACTTAATTAAGTTATCAACTTAAAATATATATATGTTTATAGTATGAAATAAAAAAATTAACATGAATGATATTTGTAGCTCGTTGAGCTAATCATGCATTCTTGTAATCATCAGCGATTCAGCGTGGGTAAGTAACTAAAAAGTAAGTTACAAAAAAAAAGTAACTAAAAGTATCCTTATATGGCTATATCATATCTTGTGTAAGTTCTTGTGCTGGTTAGTTTTGATTCAGTTTTACAGATGTATTACTATATACTACTAACTTTCGATGTGTGTTTTTTTACATTCATTACTCTATGAGTAACTTTTAGATTTTTGGTCTTATATCATACAAACGGGTTTTTTTAAAAAAACTTCTCCATCTAAGTACTTGTTTTCTTTTTATTTGGTCTTATATCATTCGTTTTTTTATTTGGTCTTATATCATACAATAGCCTCATGGTTCCTTTTATAACTTTATTTTGAACATGCTTTAAATATAGAAATGGAGAAGAACCATCAACCAAAACGAAACCTAAATTATAATCAAAGATTAAGCATAGAGAATAACACGACAGCCGAAATCAAACCAAACGTCTGCAAAAACCCAAACTAGAAAATAGATCATAAGTAACCCTAATGATCACCCAAAAGACCAACAATAACATCCGACTACTAGTTCATTATTCCCTGGTTAAACCTTAATTGATAAAAACTCTCTACTAAAACTTTATTTCAAGGATGTGGAACGATCCCACCACCAACGCCACCGACCACACCGTGTCCACCTCCAATACCACCTGCCTTACCAATACCACCACCAACTCCTCCGCCTACACCGCCTAAACCACCTCCGGCTCCACCTATACCACCAATACCACCTACTTTACCAATACCGCCACCACCACCACCTCCAGCTCCACCAAGGCCGCCAACACCGCCTAGGCCATGAAAGCCACCGATTCCAGCAGCACCGCCTATGCCACCGTATTTACCAACGCCGCCTATACCATGAAAGCCACCGATCCCAGCAGCACCGCCTATGCCACCGTATTTACCAACGCCGCCTATACCATGAAAGCCACCGATCCCAGCTGCACCGCCTATGCCACCGTATTTACCAATGCCGCCTAGACCATGAAAACCACCGATTCCAGCTGCACCGCCTATGCCACCGTATTTACCAAAGCCGCCTATGAGTCCAATGCATTTTTTGTCACCGAGACTGGTCGGTGTTGGCTGATCTCGCGCATGCATGGACGTTGTTTTTGTATCCTCGTGTGGCGTCGTCTTCCCCTCATCAAACTCACCCGGTACTTGACGGGCACGTGCATGGACGAATGACATAGCGAGCAAGACACAAACAATTGACAGAACCTTAGACATCTCTCTCTCTCTCTTTCTCTTGTCACTGCTCTCTTTTTATAGTTATTATTGATCGTCTTGTATATTGTGGAGGTTTACAATGAGTTTCCAAGGGTTTATATAGCAAAATATTAGGTTGGTGACAGTTGAAAGTAATAAATTTGGCTACGAACAAAATTTATAACGTTTCTCCATAGTAAAGGCTGTCTGATCATACAACTATACGATTGACAACTGATTGGTCCAAAATTATATGTTGGTTAATTCGTAGTAATGCGTAAATTGTAACTGGCTAGTAGTGTCTTCACTCTTCAGGCATGCACTACCGCAAGCTGAATTAGACGTGGAGCTAAAATTTGATTCGTCTATCATGTTTTCGTTTTTTCTTTAGTATAAATGAAAAGGAAAGAAGCTAAACCATACAGTTGTATATAAAATGAAACAGGTGGAGTATTAGTTTTTTTTTGTTTGAATTAGAATGAAGAGTGATTGCAACCATGGGAAAGTAAAGCTAACAAATCTAGCAAGCAAAAACACACACAAAAAAAGTAGAAAATTCACAATCAACCAGACCTTATATTAAATTATAAACATGAAGAATACACAGAATAAATAAAAAACAAGACATAATATTCTTGTTTTTATCCTAGGCAGATGACAGAGACAAACGAAGAACAATCTGAGTTGATCAGACAGAACCAGCAACACTTGGGGAGTTTCTATTTAACATGGAAGGTTGGCTTGCAGTTGAAGCAAGCAACCCCAAGGTTGAGAAAAATCGACACAACACACACACACCTAAAAAAAAAAAGAGAATTGGTTTTTAAATGACAAATGTGTGAGAATGCACACTTTGGTCTGAATATAATGGGAGATGGTTTAAAATTTTTGGGGGTAATGGTATGTTGGGAGGAGGTTAAAAACAACTATGAGGAACATTGACGTCCTCTACGACAAGGCAGAGCTCCAGCGTCGGAAGTAATGGTTGCAACCAATGAAGAAGATTTAGCAGCGAGGCTAGAGGCACGTGCGTAGCCACCAGATGCAGTGGCTCCTGAAATAGTAAAGTAAGCACCGTTCTGAAGCAAATCTCCTTCAGATCTCCAGTTCCATCCTTTCCAATGACTCGCCGGTGTGTCCACTCTCTTTGTCACCTATCAAAAAACATTCAACATCATATAATGTTACAACTTACAAACATCATAATGTCACAAACTCAACATCATTTCATCATAATGTCACAAACCTCTTTAGCAAAAGGATTTTTAGGGGCAGCATAGCGGTTTCCCTGACTGTTGATTGTAGGGTTTGCACTTCCACCTATCGCATACATCTCCCAGTGAGTGTAGTCATTGTTCACAACATGGAAATAACCGTGCCGGCACCTTCAAAAAAAGTTAAACCACATATGTCAAAAACATATCATAGAAACAGAGCAGACTCTGTTTTTTTGTTGTTCTGTCTTTTTATATATACCTCGGCATCCTTTGAATAAGTCCAACCCCAAAATGATTATAAGCAATAGTAACTTGCATAGCTTTATCCTTAGTGTAAGAATCACTATGTCCGAGCAACATAACCTCGTTGTGGTGAGTCATGTGATTGTTAGAGATGGTAATCGCAGTCGAGCCCATGACTGCATCCACAAGCCCATCAGCACAATGAGACAACGAGTTGTGATCAATCCAAACATGACTCGAGTCAAAGATCGAAATCGCGTCACCATCAGCCATCGTCCTCCACCCAAAATGCATCTCTGAGCTTCTCACCATAGCGTTCCCCGTCGGTCTACAATCATGAATATGCAATCCATGGACGATAACGTTCGTCACAGACTGAATCGTTATGCAACCGCCGTTAGCGATGTGAACGTTTGCGCCGCGTCCGTCTATCGTTTTGAAGCTGTTGACGATTAGCTCTTGTTTTAGTTGAATCACCATATCACGTTTGAAAACGATCCATAGCGGTCGGTCTTGGATCACGGCGTGACGTAATGTACCCGGTCTAGGGTTAACAGCGTCGTGGTCACTTGGGTCAGTGACTACGTAGAAACGTCCGTCGCGACCACCGATGGCGTTTCTTCCGAACCCGATTCCACAGTCCGCTAGGCGTTTGCGGTTCTTGTGCCAGTTGCGATCGCATCGCCAGCAATCGTCGATTGGGTTGCCTGTTCCGCAAGTAAAGTAACCTAGCTTCCTCCTCTCGGTATGATTTTTTGCACTCCTGTATAAATCATACCCAATTTACATTATGTATAATTAAATAATTTAAAAAAATATCACATCAGGACATGTGCACATGACATGGTGGACGATAGATACTTATGCACATTAAGACTTTTTACATAGACGTGTGTCGGTGGGGTTAGGTTCTCTGGCTAAGATTATTGAGACAAACGACGTTACAGAGAACCGTTAAATAAGGACAAACGTAGATGTGTAATAAAATCAAATAACGATAGTACTTACATGTCAACCAATGCGAGAACTTCGTCCGCTACTTCATCTGGATTCGTCACTGCGTGCTTGTTCCATTCGATTTCGTCCGATCTATTACCAAGAATTTAGATAAAAGTATAAAACCAGTGGTTGACATTATAGTAACTTTCGTTGGAAAGTGTATACACTACAAATAGAGAGACGTGTCTTCAGAGTTATTGTTATATGACGCAAATAATTAACCCTATTAGACAGTTCCGACAGCGTAATGCGTTGCGCATTGTGTAAGACTAAAACCGGTAAATCACTCTAAACAGAGCCAAAATGTACCTACACAATAGCGTTGACTCATGAGTGTATGCAAGTTAATAAGTGGAATGTACGGTCTAGAGTCTCTAGACCTTTGGATCTGATTCACAGAACAAAATTCAATGGCTCAAGTTATTATTTATCTGGTTCTGCTTCTAATTTTGTCGGCTGAAAGAATTAAAACAGTGAAAACAAATGATTATTTTGAAAGAAAAAAACAAATGATTTTTTTATAAATCTTTTGGAATTTTTTCTTAGAAATTTTGGGGAAAATGTAGTTTGAGAATGAAAAAATGTTAACGAATTACTGATATGAAACATTTAATTTTACTTCTTTTCTTTTTGTAAACTGCTTTCAGTGTGAAACATATAATGAAAATAAGTATTCTTCTCTGTATCTTTTTTACATCTCATGAGAAAAAAACAGAGTGGTGTGTATAGATAAAGACCTGGAGAGAGATGAGATCTTGTCGTGTGTTTTGTTCTCCATTGCTCCGACGAAGAAGAATAGACACATCATAGCTAAAATCCATGTCGGAAGAACCGTCATTAGAGCAGAGTGTTTGTCCGAAAAAATTAGAGCAGTGGGGAGATGGCGGAGTGAGAGTTAAAAGACAGTGAATGTACGAGCTTGGAAATTTATAGAATATGGAGAAAAAGAAGACTACTCGCAAAATAGCCGTTAAAACGGCCGTCATGTATCTATACGACACGCCGTCGTGTATACAATTTGATTCTTGATTTTGCCTTTTTGATCTCTTTATTTACCGCTCCAACCTCCACTACCTGCTCAAGAGTGTGATTGTAGTAATACCAGTCCTTTTAACGCAAAAACAAATGATGTTTTTTTTTTTCAAAACATATGTCTAAATAAATACAAACTATTAGTTTATATTTAGACATATGTTCGAAAGATTTTACAAGAATCTAATCTATACTATTATTTAAGAAGTAAATTTGCTTAGTTGTCATGTTCTCCTTAATTTTAGGTAAATTTTTTTATTTACCTTATTTAAATAATTTCATATAAAAATTTATTATTTAATAAAAACGAATTTATATTAATATATCATATTTTTAGTAAATAAGATAATTCTTGTGAATTATGTTGTTATCTTGAAATATATTTTCATATATAAGACTTANATGTTCTCCTTAATTTTAGGTAAATTTTTTTATTTACCTTATTTAAATAATTTCATATAAAAATTTATTATTTAATAAAAACGAATTTATATTAATATATCATATTTTTAGTAAATAAGATAATTCTTGTGAATTATGTTGTTATCTTGAAATATATTTTCATATATAAGACTTAAATTTTAAATTAAGATATAAACACAATTATATTTATCTAAAAATAATTTATATTAATAATTTAATATTTAATCTATACTATTATTTAAAAAATAAATTTGTTAAGTTGTCATGTTCTTTTAGGTAAATTTGTTTATTTACCTTATTTAAATAATTTCATATAACATTTATTTTAATAAAAAGGAATTTATATTAATATATCATATTTTTAGTAAATAAGATAATTCTTGTGAATTATGTTGTTATCTTGAAATATATTATTATATATAAAAATTAAATTTTAAATTAAGAAATAAACACTATTATATTTATCTAAAACGAATTTATATTAATAATTTGATATTTAAATATAATTAAACGAATTAATATTAATAATTTAATATTGATAATTAAATATAAATCATCAAAACAAAATTTGAAAAGTGAATTTCTTGATTTGTCTCCATGATCCTAGGTAATTTTGATCATTTATTAGAATTTCCGTAATTTGTTTATTATTGATTATATAATAAAACTAATTTACATTAATAATATGATATTTTAGAAAATAAGTTAGTTCTTATGTATTATGCTGTTATCTTGAAAAAAATATTTTGCTATTATAAAATTTAAAATTAACATGTAAAAAATCTATAGTATTATTTAAGAAGTGAATTTGATGTTTGCTGATTTGTCATATTTTCAATGATTTTAGGTAATTTTGATAATTTATTAATTTATATAATTTACTATATATTTGAAACAAATTTATATTTATAGTATCAGATTCTTAAAAAATAAAATACTTCTTATGTATTAAGCTACTGTCTTGAAGAAGTAAATTTGCTTAGTTGTCATGTTCTCCTTAATTTTAGGTAAATTTTTTTATTTACCTTATTTAAATAATTTCATATAAAAATTTATTATTTAATAAAAACGAATTTATATTAATATATCATATTTTTAGTAAATAAGATAATTCTTGTGAATTATGTTGTTATCTTGAAATATATTTTCATATATAAGACTTANATGTTCTCCTTAATTTTAGGTAAATTTTTTTATTTACCTTATTTAAATAATTTCATATAAAAATTTATTATTTAATAAAAACGAATTTATATTAATATATCATATTTTTAGTAAATAAGATAATTCTTGTGAATTATGTTGTTATCTTGAAATATATTTTCATATATAAGACTTAAATTTTAAATTAAGATATAAACACTATTATATTTATCTAAAAATAATTTATATTAATAATTTAATATTTAATCTATACTATTATTTAAAAAATAAATTTGTTAAGTTGTCATGTTCTTTTAGGTAAATTTGTTTATTTACCTTATTTAAATAATTTCATTTAAAATTTATTTTAATAAAAAGGAATTTATATTAATATATCATATTTTTAGTGAATAAGATAATTCTTGTGAATTATGTTGTTATCTTGAAATATATTATTATATATAAAACTTAAATTTTAAATTAAGAAATAAACACTACTATATTTATCTAAAACAAATTTATATTAATAATTTGATATTTAAATTTAATTAAACGAATTAATATTAATAATTTAATATTGATAATTAAATATAAATCATCAAAACAAAATTTGAAAAGTGAATTTCTTGATTTGTCTCCATGATCCTAGGTAATTTTGATCATTTATTAGAATTTCCATAATTTGTTTATTATTGATTATATAATTAAAACTAATTTACATTAATAATATGATATTTTAGAAAATAAGTTAGTTCTTATGATCGAAACTAATTTGACCAAGAAACGCAGCGTTTCGGTTTGGCGACTGAAAATGCGATTTGGCGATTAGAGTTTTTCTCGTTCGTTGGTGTCATGAGCTCGGCGGTCTCGCCGGGATCTTCCTCCTCTCCGGTGGTTGGGGGTTCATCCCGTGCGGCGGCGCAAGGCTCGATCAGTGGGAAAGATGGTTCTCGTGGGAAAAGTGGATCTATTTCTGGGTTTGGTTCGCGTGATATGAAATCTGGTTTGGTTCATCAGGATTTGGTCTCCGGTGCTCAGTCTGAGAAGGTTGCAGGCTCTCAAGGTCAGGTTTCTGATATTGGTTTGGGTCTGGTCTTCGGTGTTCAGTCTGAGAAAGTTGCAGGCCCTCAAGGTCAGGTTTCTGATATTGGTTCTCATATTGGTTTGGGTTGTCAGGGTTTGGTCTCTGGTGTTCTGTCTGAGAAGATTGCAGGTTCTCAAGGTCAGGTTTCTGATACGAAGTCTGAGGTCGATTTGGATAAGGTTTTGGGAAATCAAGGTGATTTTCTACATGGATCGAACGATCTAATAAAGAAGGATGGATTCATTGGAGGGGTGAAAGGTTCTTGGGTTGGAGCTGTTCAAGGTCAGAAAGTTTTAAAAAAGTATGAAGTAGAGATTACAATGAAAGATGGAGTTGGTTCTGTAACTGTCCCTGAGGAGATTACGAAGGATATCCCACCACTTTGGGAGGATTTTCTTATTGGTAAGTTTCTTGATGAAGCTCCTCATATTGCCAAGGTTCACGCAATTGTTAACAAGATATGGAATCTAAATGATAAAGCTCAGAAGATAGAGGTTTTTGAGGTTAATTCTACATCAATGAAGTTTAGGATTTCAAACCAAGCTGATAGGAACAGGATTTTGCGTAGGGGAATGTGGAACTTGGCTGGTATCCCTGTTGTTATGGCTAAATGGTCACCAGTGACTGAGAAGGAGAAGGCTCCAGTTCAGTCGATTCCAATGTGGGTTCATATCAAGAATGTGCCTATATCGATGTTCTCTTGGCAAGGTCTAAGTTTCTTATCGAGTCCTATTGGTTTTCCAGATAGATTGCATCCGGAAACTGCTCAATGTCTGAAGTTAGATGTTGCGAAAATATTTGTTAAAGTTGATTTAACTAAAGATTTGCCGAAGCAGATGAATTTTAATATCAAGGGGGAGGATGTGTTGATTGAGTATGTCTATCCGAGGCTTCCAACAAAGTGTCCAGAATGTGAGGCGTGGGGACACACGAAAATCTGTTCCCGGGGTAAGGCTAAGCAAACTGTGGTGGATGAGAGTAATATTGAAGGAAATCAAAATGTGGAGAGGTCCGTAGTTAATGAAGAAACTCTGATGCAAGTTGCTGGAGTAAGTGAGATAGTAGAGACATTGGAAACAAATGAAAATCAACGGGTTGTTGAAGTTCAAAAAGAGGAAGTTCAAAACGAGAAGATGGAGGTTGTTGCTATGGGAAAAAGAAATGAGAAGGCTGATATCACAAGTGATAGGAGTACTGAGAAAAGTGAAAAGGTAGGTGAATGGCTAACTCCGGGTAAGCCTAGTGGTCGTTCTCCTTTTAAGCAAGACTTGGGATTTGAGACAGTTGATATGCTTCAAAACTCCCGATTTTCAGTGTTGGCTAAGGTCGATGAGGATGAGTTAGAGCATAAGGCTGAGAATAAAGATGAACAGATTGATGAGGAGAGACTTGAGGAAGATGAAGTGATTATGCGCCAAGTGCTCCCTCGAGAATCAAAAATGAATCATCGCTACTTTAAGGATAAGACTACTCGGAAAGCTCAGGAGGTTGCTCCTAGCTATCTAAACAAAAGGAAGACTCGAAACCAATAATTTAATATGTCTGGTTTTTACTAGAATATTAGGGGTTTTAATAAGTTTTCGAAGCATATGGTTGTTAAAGATTGGATAAGGAAGTGGGGTTTTCAATTTGGCTGCCTCATTGAAACTAGAGTTAAGGAAAATAAAGCTAAGAAGATTCTGGAGGTGGTGTTTCCAGGATGGTCTTATATCACAAATTATGATTATAGTAGGAAGGGAAGGCTCTGGGTGGTTTGGAGTCCTCTTGTGAGATTTACTCCATGTTTTCAAAGTACTCAGATGATTACTGGTTCTGTTCTTTTGGATGGTGCTGATGATGAATTTTTCTGTTCTTTTATTTATGGTCTTAATCTGGAGGAAGAGAGAAAGGAGCTGTGGAAGGATATCAAAAGTCATCATGATTCTCCTATTATCAAGAAGTCCCCTTGGATTGTCCAGGGTGATTTTAATGAGATCCTTAGTCGAGTTGAGCACTCTGTGGATGGTCATGATTCGCAGGGTATGTTTGATTTTCAGGAGACTGTGAAGTATTGTTCTCAGTTAGACATGTCTTATCAAGGCCCAAGGTTTACGTGGTGCAATAAAAGGGATATTGGTATCATTTGTAAGAAGCTTGACCGTACGTTGATTAATGAAGTCTGGATGAGAAAGTTTCCTCAAACTTATTGTGTGTTTGAAGCAGGTGGTTGTTCTGATCATCAGAGGTGTAGGGTTGTTATAAAATCTGCTTTATTGAAGCCTAGGAAGCCGTTTAAATTTGTGAATGCGATGGTGGATATGCCGGAGTTTATTACTTGTGTTGAGGAGTATTGGATGAATACTGAACCTTTATTTAATTCC